AAAAGAGCTTGTGCGTAACAAGATTTTTTAGCCAATCTTTCCTACTCGAAGCTCCTCAAATGATTTCAGGTCTGCTAAGGGCTAACCTTAGTTTGTGGGCTGCTTACTTGAGCCGGTTATCTCATGAGCTAGGCTAATTAGGGTGGTGATCTAAGGAGTCAGGGATTTGGATTGCCTAATTCGACTTGGATTAACTTGGACACCAGGGTGGAGCGAAAAAGTTTTCTCCTCTTCGTTTGCCTTAGATTAAAAAGTTCAAAAACGATTTAAGATATTCAAGATTTTTCTCTAATTCGTCCACTTCTTTTTTAAAACCGTGAGTGTCCAGACCAGCTTGGCAACTTTACTATTCTCAGCAGACAACCACATAACATATTACATCATAACTATGTGTGGCCACCAAAGTTTGAACTCATTTTCAACCCTCCACTATCTAAAGTTTTTTAGATGAGGTAATATTTTGCCCAAATTTTTTACTCCGCCCCTGTTTGGCTTCAATGCAAGTCAGTTAGGGAATGGACTACAGACCATGCCAAGCATGGGGATACATGTGGGTACTTTTATTCCCACAGACAATACACTACTCTTTTCAAAAACATTCTGCAGAGTTTCATTCCTACAAACCATAAGCTACTCTTTTTTCATTCCGAGGTATATGAATTGCATTCATGTATAAGTACCAACACCCTATAATGTACATTTTGGATTGCGAGTGAAGTAAGAGGATATGCAGAGCGAGTGCGTACCTGTAGATTGGGATCACCACTGAATGCTCCAAAAGGCTCCACAGCCCGAACAGACAAAGCAAATCAACATTCATAGGCGTCTGATGACAAGAAAGTGAAGTGGTTGGTCGTCTCCAAAGCTTACTTTCTACGTAAGAATTTCGTCGAACACTTGGCGCGCACGATGAAGCCATTGATGACTAATGAGGGTCGTTTTTCGTTTTCACCATCACACTGAAAAATTATATATAACTTGGAAGCGTAATTTCATTCAACTGGATAGTGGAACTACTCGGGCAAAAAACCATAATGCGCACAAAGAAATGGACTTCTATTTTCATCAATTGTTCGATATTCCACAAGGTGACCATGGACTAAGAGCAAACGAAGATCAAAATAAGAAAACAACATTTTCACCCCATTTAAGAAGGGCTCTTTGATTTGGGAACAGAGAAATTGAAGGGAGGCGGTCGGAGCACGGCTTCCTCCGTCTCAATTGGATCTGACCTCCGTATCTACCACCAAAAACAATTGAGGGGGAAAAGAAACAGGAACAACCGTCAATTTCGTGCACCATTCATACAACAAAATTCAAGAATGAAACTGGAAGGAAAGAATTGGAGAACCGGATCTTGGAGAACAAGCTTGGTGTCATCTTTAGCAGGTCTGAAAGGCGGTTTTTGGGGCCTGTCCTTGCAATCTCCAGTATTCGTCGGATTGGTTGGAGTTGAAAGCTCCGGAGCTTTCATTGTCACTCTATGAAGCTTTGAAAGGTTCTTTTGATCTGAAGTTTGCACTTCGATGGCCGTCTTGAGAGTTGAGAGTGCAGAAAGGGGTAATTGACGTAAATCCCTAACCAAAATTTTGGGGTTATCGCGAAGAATGACCCTTGATCTCCAATTTTACGGACAGGTTTATCCATTTTCATCTAAATTCTAAATTTTTGTCAAATTAACCCTAACCTTAAATAATGTTGTATATATTCAATTTTGGTTAATTTATCCACTCATTTTAACCAAACAAAAATAACATAAACATTTCCAAAAACTAATTAATTTCGTACCCTACATATATTTTATAGTTCATTTAATGCATGTAGGGGATATAATAGGAGTTCATTGTCTGATTGAGCAACACTTTGACCACCATAAAGCTCGAACACAACCGTAGGTGATACTACAAGACTCCATGTACTTACCTGGCACCAGGACTATTATTTGAATCTTTAAATTTAAATTTTTTTAATCATATAATTTTACATAAAATAATTTTTTCAGCATTTAACATTAATTTTATATAAATAATATAATAGAAACTTGATATAATTAAACTAGTTTTATTTTTATATGATTTATTTCAAAAACTGTCTTATATATGATTGTCTTAAAAAGTATTTTATACCTGGAGGTTTGAAAAGAAATAATAAAGTTCTTTATTATTTTCCTATTGATTTAATACTCATTGTGGTCACTTATTGATTTAGGAAATTTCCCTCTCCATATGTTAGGTTAGGAGCTCCCTACAAATAAGGTTCTGTACATCCCAATCTTCACTACAATTAATTAATTAATTAATTAATTATGCTTTGAAAAGAATCTCAACCAAAATTATAGCTTCCATATCCTTAAACTATAATTATTTTTTCATTTCATCCTTAAAATGTAAATATAGTTTTTTTCTTTATTGAAAACAAAAACCATAATTAATTTGATCTGATCAACTTCCTTTTATAATATCCTACCTTCACGGGAAAGTCGAATGAATACCTGTCGGTCCCTTGAAAGAGAGATGTCCTAAATCACTAGACAATGGGGCATACTTGTCCGACTACCATGCATCATGCAGTGATCATAGTTCTTTTCTTAAATTATCAATATACAAATAATAGAATAACATGACACCATTTGGAGGACTTTTCTACTTTTATTATTCCATAGAATTTTTTTATTTGTGATTTATATTTGCTAAAAGGATAATTTCGACTCCTCGAGATTCTATTATTTTCGTCCCATGTGTGATTTATGGGCTACTCCATATAAAGAATGGTGTCAAGGTTCAAAGTGGCCTACCTTTTCTTCTTTAAAGATGGTCGAAAAACTACTTCATCCACATTTGAAGATTCAATTTTATCTCCAATATTTCAGAAAGAAAATTCAATCAACAATATCATCATCAAAATGGAATAATATAATGGTCAATTACTTAACAATAAAAAATAAATTCAATTAAATTTCACTTTCCAATTTTAATATGTTGTAGATTCATGGGATATGATGTTACTAAAATGCACACGACTCTCATTTCTTCTCCTTTAATAATTGAAACTTCTAAAATATTATCTAACAAAATTGAAAAACGACATAAAACTTCAAGGATCACATAACATATTCAGGCCTTAATTTTCTACTCTCTTTTTTCTTCATATGAATTCTTTTACAAGTTTAAGATAAGATACCAAATAATATATATACATGCGACGACCAAACTTTTTTCCTCAGAAAAAAAAAACACAACAAATTAGGGTGGATAAAGAAAGATACGAAATTCACAAGACAACAAAAATATTGACAAAATCGTAATAAAAATTGGGATTTGTTTTTTAATTTGTAATTCTGCTTTGCAAGCACAGAAAAGGCTTGTAAAAGAAGAATATAAAATCCATGCACCGAAAAAGCTGGCCAAAGAGAACCGAACCTCTAAAAGTGGATGGAGAGCTTTAAACTTTAGGGAGGATAAAAATTCCAATTGTTTCTCCATGAAAATTTTAATTTATAGACCAAATCGAACATARCTCAAATGGTTAAAGCATCTATTCTAAAAAAATTAATTTACAGATAAAACAGAAAGTCATAAATTAAAATTAAGTGCAATGAGCTAATAATATAATCCTTACGCTGGAAATATTGATTTGCAATTGTGCAGGGTAGTAACAGAGATGCAGAGGCAGAGACATTATTATTGTCATAAAATTACAGAATAATATTATAAAAGTTATTGCCTGTATCCGAAAGGGAACCAGCGTTGGTGGTAGTGGGACTGGTGAGAGATGAGGTAGAGAAGAAAGATGAGGAGGAGAGCGACGCCCCACGGGGAGGCGCCGGCGCGGTGGAGGGAGTCCTGCTCCGGCAGAGGGAGGAGGAAGGGGAGGCCGAGAGAGAGGAGGTGGAGGAGGAGGAGCAGCAGCAGGGGGACGGTGAGGAGGAACAGCTTGAGCTGGACGATCAACTCCTGGAGAATGGAGTCGTAGAAGATGTACCATGAGAAGCCCATCACCAGCACCAGGATCACCCCGAACACGCACAGCTCCACCGGAGGGAACGTCAAGTTAAAGTATTCCCCCCAATAATAAGAATACCAGTTGTTGTAGTATCGAGCCATCCTTAATTTAACCTATACAAATACTTGGTGATATAGTAAGCTGCTATTATTTATACATATATATATAGATACAGAGAGAGAATCTTGTCTCTCTCTCCCTCTCTCTCCCTCTCTCAAGGGCTTTATTTTTCTGGAACATACCAGCAACACGGAGATGCTTTATTGTTCAATTTCAATATTTTATTGTTTAATTTTCTGTGATTTATTAGTTACTTTATTAAATGTTTAAGATTAAAATTGATGACATGGGTGAGGTGAGAAAAAAGGAATTTCTCTCAATTTTATTGTTTTATTGTTTTCAAAAATATAATTAAAAAAAGGAGATAAGTGTCATCGTGGAAAAAAAATAAAGAATAAAAAGGTAAGAAAGAAATGGCAGTTGATTGAATTATATTAGACATTTAGACTAGCTTGAGATTTAAAAATTGTAGGGTAGAAGTAAATAAATATTCGGTTATTTTGTGAATGAAAAGGGAGCATATAAAAGGAAAAAGAAGCACGGTAAAATGAGTGGTCCATCTTACCCTCTTGTTACGTAACTTTATTCCACAATTTGGAATTAAAAAAGTGTTGGGATAATGAAGCCAAAACAGATGACCTATATCGTATGAGAAAAAGAATTTTCAAACACTAGTACCAATTCCTACTAGGAATTTATAAGGACAACATTGTTTTCCTATAAGCATTGGGATATTTGACCTTTTATAAATAGAATCTTTTTGTTAAAGTTTCATTTGTACATAATCCAACTAAAAAAGACTTGAGTGGTTGTGACCCGTGTGTGAAAAAAGAGTTTTGTGTAATCCTAGTAGCATTGTTAGGATACTTAGAAGCAAGATAATAATATCTTGAGCGAGAATATTTCCAACTATAATTGAACCTGTGAGAAGACTCGACTAGTCCCAAGATATAGGCGAACTATATCTTCAGAAAACATTATTATTGAATTCGTCACAAAAACAAATTAAATGAAGAGCAAGCTGTAAAGGGTTTCCCAAATCAATAATGCAACACGTAAATATTATACTCGACTATGGCATCCAATGAGGTGGCGTTGAAAAAGTGGGTCGTGGCCTGAGCATAGCCTCTAGCAAACCGGAAACGGCCGCTCCCTCCGATCACCGGCATCTCCCGAACGGTGTCGAAGATGGGATTCCGTCCCAAAATCGTGATGGTGCTGCCGTTGTATTTGCCGTGAGTGAAGGCGAAGTTCATGGCCATGAGAAGCCCGAATTGGTGTTGCGAGGCGGACGCGTAGAGCCCTTGCGACTTCCCCACCAGCTGCGACGCCGGGTCTGGGCCGACGGTCAATGGGTTATCGAATATGTTGACCAGCCCGAACATTGCGGCGTCGTTGAGCCTGAGCGGGGGCAGCACTTCGAAACTCGTGGGCTTGTCACCGGGCTTGCTCCCCCCAATAATGTCGTGCCAGTACACACGAAAATGGGTCAGTTTCTCTTTTTTCAGCCCCAACAGTTTGGGATCCAGGTTTGTTGCGAATGGCTGCTCCTCCGTCATGGCCGATGCCGTCGACACCAAAAGAAAACAGAAAGTGATCATGGACCTGGTTGAAGGATGGATTTTAGCTGCCATGCCTCTCACTTTTCGAATAAATTAAAGATGATAATTATGATTATATTTTGGAGCTTCTTAACTTGGTGAACGAGGAACCTGGAGAGCCTCTACTGTGTGTGTGTATATATATATGATTTGAGTTCAAATTTTGGAGTCAAAGTTGTGACGTGGCAGAGGGTCAGCGTAATGGGCAGGACGAGTTTGACTAATTAATCATATTTCCACCAATAGCGTGCAATGGTTGATTATTATTATTTATCAGTATATTATTCAGGAATTCCAAGCTTTTGGTGTGATGGCTTCTTTTACGTGGAAACTTCCAGTTTGTGTCGTTTGGTTCCCTATTTAACAAATAGCAATTTTAGGCCTTCATTTCACCGATTTTATTTTGAATAAACTCGACATTAGATATGTCCACCCTTATGTATAATTGTATTTACTAAAAAAAAAAAAAAAAGGAAGAAGCTGATTTTAGTTTTAAAAATCACTTATAAAAATGAAGTAAAATGTATTTTTGGTGAATGAGACTTGGAGTTAGGTGAAATTTTTAACCATGGAAGTTTTAAAAATGGTTCTAAATATACGGTGTTTGAAGCTAAATAGCTAATTGATTATTAATCCATTAAGAAAAAAAGTGACGTGGTCATTATTTTCCCAATATGTGACATGACAAATAATCTTTCTTGTTTCTCCGCACTTTCCGGCCTCCTCTCTCGTTCTTCTTCTCCCCCTTCCGCTCTCTCCTTCTCCGGCGAACCGCCATCGCCGTCGTCGTTATTGGATCTAGATTTTGCACATACTTCTCGTTCCACACTATTCATCCGTTGCCTTTGGCTCCCGTTTTTTATTGTTTCTTCCTCGAGAGAAATTTCCTGTCTTAAAAAATAGGTATGGATTTGAAAGGATTAATAGGAGCGCACGTCCACCATATCTTTCTATCACATATCGTATGCTGCCGTAACATTTAGTCTGGACCGTTTCGTTCCAAATCTTGAACGACTTATTTCATATCGGAATGAAATGGTTTAAACGTTATAGATCTAAACGTTTTTGGACTATTTCGTGTTAGATATAGAACGAAGTCGGGCGGCGGTTCATCGGAGAATATGAGAAGAAGAATAAGAGAGGGAAGCAAGAGAATAACAGATCTGAAACCGAAATGTTCCAGATCTGAAATGAAAGAACGAGGATGAAGGCTTCGGCAGCCGGCGGTGACGATGGTGGCAAGCTTTGCCGGAGAAGAAGAAGGGAGATGAAGGGGAATTCAATGAGAAGATTAGGAAGAGAGAGAAAGGAAAAATAAATAAAATAATAATAATTAAACAAGCCAAATAATCAAAAGAAAAGCCCAATACTATAATAGTTAAAAATTTATAAAAAAAAAAAATTACACTTTCATTGTCATTTAGAATTTGACACATCAACAAGTTATTTTTACGTTGGTTAACTAATACTCAATTTAAGGACTATTTTAAACTATTTTCCAAACTAAAAGTAAACTTTTTAAAATTTTACGATTAAATTGGACACCTAAAACCTTCCGGATCAAAAGTCTACTTTGTCCTAAAAATTATTGTTATCTGTCGTTTCTATACTTTTGAAATTTTCAGCTATTTTCAAAATAATAATAATAATTACTATATTTATTTTTGTTTGTTGTATAATATTTTGGCTACATATTTAAAAGCACATCATAAAATATATAGAAAATAAACTTGTAACTGTTAGCATAACATGAATAAATATACTCTTGGAAGGAAAAAAAAAAGTTTCAAAAAGCTCTTGAATAAATATACTATTAATTTTTAACATTAATTTTTAATTTCATTTAAATTGTACTTTCGGTTAAGAATCCCATGTTGAAAAAAAAAGGGACCTAACATAGGTTTATAATAGACATTGGCTACTCCTCTCATAGCCAATTGGTTTTGAGATGGAATCCCATGAATATTGATATGCTATCATAGCACAAAAGCTCAAACGAGCATCCGGTTAAAAAATGAGATCTGGTCAAGATCGATGAACCAAAAGAGTCATATTGCAATATTTGTCTTAAATTTGATTAAATGTTGTAATTTTTACCTTCTAATAAATTTGTATACTAGTCATTATAAATAAATATTCTCATTTGTATTTAATGAATTATAAAATATACATAATTTGATATGAAATTAATAAAAGTTTAAAGAAAACAAATACTAGAGACGATTTTATTTTTCTAATTTGATCGAATTTAATTTCCCACAAAAATTTATTTTTATTATCAGAGAGTCCAATTTTAACAGGCTGCCACCACTCTCTTCTATTTAATAAGAAGAATGCTGGCCAAGTTGAACGAGTAAACAAAACAAAAAAGAATAAATATAAAATGTTTAAAATTTCCAACACATCACATCAGAAAACAAAAACAAAAATTAGAGAAGAGTAAACAAATGAACAGCGAGTAAACGGTGTCCCAAATCAATAATGCAACACGTAAATATTATACTCGACGATGGCATCCAATGAGGTGAAGTTGACAAAGTGGGTCCTGGCCTGAGCATAGCCTCTAGCAAACCGGAACCGGCCGCTCCCTCCGATCACCGGCATCTCCCGAACGGTGTCGAGGATGGCGTTCCGTCCCAAAATGGTGATGGTGCTGCCGTTGTATTTGCCGTAGGTGAAGGCGAAGTTCATGGCCATCAGAAGCCCGAATTGGTCTTGCGAGGCGGACGCGTAGAGCCCTTGCGACTTACCCACCAGCTGCGACTCCGGCTCCGGGCCGACGGTCAATGGGTTGTCGAATATGTTGACCAGCCCGAAATTTGTGGTGTCGTTGAGCCTGAGCGCGGGCAGCACTTTGAAACTCGTGGGCTTGTCACCCGGCTTGCTCCCCCCAACGACGTCGTGCCAATACATATGAAAATGGGTCAGTTTCTCTTTCTTCAGCCTCAACACTTTGGGGTCCAGGTTTGTTGCGAATGGCTGCTCCTTCGCCATGGCCGATGCCATCGACGACACGAAAAGAAAAGTACAGAAAATGATCGTGGTTGAAGGATGGATTTTAGCTGCCATTTTTTATTTTGGAGCTTCTTAACTTGGTGAATGAGGAACCTAGAGAGGCTCTATCTATATATATATGATCTGGAGTCAAAGTTGTGACGTGGCAGGGAGTAGTAAGTCGGTCAGCGTAATGGGCAGGACGTGTTTGACTAATTAATTCTCATGTTTCCACTTATAGGTTCGTGCATGGTTTGATTATTATTATTTATTAATATATTATTCACATTCTCGTCTTCCAAGGGACGGATGAGTGACTGCCTGAGAGGGATTGGTGGATTGTTGAGTTTGTAAAGGAGTAAAAACAAAGTCTCACATTGACTAGGAAAGAGGGTGATCATGAGGTATGTAAGAGAAGACAACTATCTTCATTCATTTTGGGTGTAACCAAAAGTAAAGTCGTGAGGACTATGTCCAAAGTAGACAATATGATACAATTGTGGAGATACTCAAGGTACTAGAGGTAGCTGTTGTAACATTTAAATATGGAACGTTTCGTTTCAAATTTGGATCATTTCATTTTAAATCTTAAACGACTTGTTTCATACCGGAATGAAATGGTTCATACGTTGCTAAATTTATTAGATTGATTTTTCTTTTTAATTTAGTTAAAGGAAAACTGAAAATGCAGCACAATTTTCATAGACTTACATTATTCTTCCAAAATAATTTTGTAGTTGTTGTTAGTTACGTTATTGGATTCCATTATGCCATTCAACTTTTACCAAACTTATATTATAGTAAAGAAAAATAAGATGGAACAAAATTTAAATCAGTCATCGACAATGTTTAACCAAAAAAAAAGAATGTCATTCAGAAAAAATAAAAGTAATAATAAAAATAAAAATAATGAGATTAAAGAAAAGTCGTATAGCGCCGCCGACCGGACCCAAGATATATATTTTACAAAAATAAACAAATAGAATAACTGAAGATCTTTTTAGCCATAGAAAATTTGGCGGAAAAATGAGTAATTAATGAAGGAAAATACGTGAGTGTACTTTAGAAGTTTGTACAAGTTATCAAAAAGGAATAAAAAAAATTATGAGCATTTTTATTTTTCTTTTTTAGTACCGAGAGTAGGGATCAAACTCACAATCTTTTGATTTGAAATTTATTTCAATTATCGTTGAGCTATGTTCATTTTAACAGAAATGTTACGTAATTCTTTTATAATTTATTCCAATTATTGTTGAACTATGTTCATTTTAACCAGAGTGTTACATAATTCTTCTATAATTTATTGGATTATGTCATGCTATTCGACTTTGACTAACAAAAATATGGAATAAATTCAAATCAATCAAAAACTGGGTAATTGAAGATTATTTTTTAATAATAGAAAATTGGGTAGCGTGGCGATGAAAAGTCTCGTTTGGTTTGCTTGAAAGTGGCATTCGTCAGCCTATCATCATTCATGATTCAATTTCAATCCATCCATCCGCTTGAATTTAACCTAAATTTAAAAGGAAAAAAAAAGGACTTCGAGGTCAACGGGCCCACATTAGAGAGGAGAGAGGGGCAGGCCCATTGGGTTTGTTTTGAAATTGAAATTTAGGCCCAAACAAAACGTGAAGGACGCTGAAGAAAATGGGAAACAGCCTTATATCTCACGCCCAAACATCCAATCATCGTCATCATCACATCCTCTCTACCTTTAATTCACCATCTAATTATCATCCACTACCTCTCTCTCCTTCCCCATTATAATTTCAATTGAAATTGAAGTGTCGGCGACCACTCTGCCTTTTATGTTCTAAAGGCTTCTCCTTTTCCATCATTGTTTAGAATTTCTCGAATGTGCAATTCACAGAGTTCAACAATGAACACAACACAGCTACTGTAGTCTACAGCCAACCAGAATCAGAAGCAAGGTTCCATTTCCAATTCCAACAACCAAACCCACTTACTTAACATTAAATTATTGAAAAGTGAAAAATAAAATCTTAAACAGAGAAATGGAGGGAGGGAGAGTCAATAATGAAGTACGTGAATGTTATATTCAATAACCGCATCCCCTGTGTTGTAATCGACCTTGTTGGTTCTGGCTTCGGCGTAGCCTCTGGCAAACCTGAACAGCCCGCTTCCTCCGATCACCGGCATCTCTCTCACCTTTTCCATGAATGGGTTTCTTCCCAAGATTGTGAGTGAGCTTCCGTTGTATTTCCCACTCACAAACGCGAAATTCATCGCCATTAACAGACCCGGATTCACCTGCGAAGCCGATGCGTACAGTCCTTGTGCTCTTCCCCACAGTTT